GAACGACACAAGTGTAGTTTTCTTTACAGTAACAGTACAAGTGCCTTTCTCATGGAGAAATTATATTTCTATAACGGCACTTTTATCGTTCTTTTAGAATATTTCATCTTAAAAACAGCTAAAGTGCCGTTCTTAATGACATTTTCATCCTCTAAGCGGCACTTGTTCTGTTCTTTTAGAACTTTTCATTTCAATATCAACACAAGTGTCGTTCTCAATGACATTTCATTCTCAAGCATTGGATCTGTAAAGTACGCGAGAAAAATAAATCACGTGATAAAGAACAATTGAAATGATGTAAATTATTTGATATAAAATTGTTGAAAGTACAAGTGATTCTATTATTTTCAACAAAATAAAAGTAATGAGCATATCTCTTAATTTTTATAAATGTTAGGTCCACCTTGCAACTTAATTGAGTTCAACCTATTATTTATTGACTCAAGGACGGTTGTGGCTGCTTAAACTCTTAATTATAGATAGAATGACACAAATATCGTTTTATTATCAGTAACGACACTTGAGCTGTTGTATTGATTTTTCCTTTATTTTCGTTTATTTCCAAAGCTACGACATTTTCGAATTGAACACCTTAAGTTGTGTTGTTCTCACAATAATAATAGAAATTTATATTTTCGTAACATCACTTATGCCGTTCTCTTAGAACTTTTAATTCCAGTAACGGTGCTAATACCGTTCTCAAAGACTTTTCATCTCAGCAACGACACAAGTGCCATTTTCATAGACAAGTATATTTACAAGTATAATGATAGCTATAAAGTTCTTATATACATTATCATCTTAGTAGCGTCACAAGTGTCGTTCTCATAGACAAGTAAATTTACAATCATAACGACAATTGTGCCATCATTGGGAGGTTAGACTGACAATTAATGAACATATTTCTCTCAACTCATATTTATAGATAGAACACGAAATGGTCATTTCATTTCAGTAACGGCTCTTGTGTCGTTCTATTGATTTCTCTTGTATTTTTGATTTTATTCCAGCACAATGATTGTAAACATTGGACCCCCAACAAAGTATAAACATTTTCATGTCAGTAACATATGTTAAGGAGTTCATTATTGAATGTTGTTTTGTTGAAAAAATCAGATATATGTGAAACTTTCGTAACAACACAAGTGTCGTTACTGGATATGAAAATGACACTTTTGCTGTTACGTGCATAAATACAATTATAAGCAGTTATGGTCCGTTTGTTCCCTAAAAATAATAAGTGAAACTTATTTATGTTGTAATATGTATATGACAATGTATAAAAGTTGATAGATATGTTCATCAATTTAATTGACATATATGAGTGTGATGACTTTTACTTTTACTATTTAAATAATATAAAATATGTCATTTCAATTGTTCCTTGTGTCTAGTCAATCTTTTTGTATTATATACGCTAGCAAATCCATTATTAGAGTTCATATTATTGAAAAAGTCAAACTACAGCAGAGAACGACTGTAGTGTCGTTTTACTTTATAGATACGACTGAAGTGGTGTTTTGTATTTCGTATAGCAGTTGGAGTGCTATTACATTCAATGGTTGCATTTAACACAAAAAATACACTGAATACGAAAACAATACTATCTAAATATTGTTTAATAATAAAAATACAATATAGATGCGATTTCTAAAAGTATCTTTCTTCACTCAAAAGATACTCAAAATAATTGAAGAATATAACAAAAAACATAATTTTAGGGTAGCAAGAATGGTGATTGAATAGAAAGAAAATATGTGATTGTAATTTTGAGAACCAAAAATTGAAGATGAAAATGGGAAGAAGAAGACGTTATTATTTTTTTTTTTTTTTAAATTAGGGTTTTAAGGTGAATTTAGAGGAGAAATAGCTGGATGAAATGAGAAAAGTTAAAGGAGAATTTTGTCATTTTGCCAACTAAAATATTTTGCATTTTTCTATTTGTTTTTATTATTGGTCAAAGGTCATTTAATCAAAGACATTGTTAAGTTAGGTTATTGGGCCAAATTTCCCGAAAATAAATAGTAAAGTGCAATAATGAAGCATAAATGTCATCTGACTAAAATGTCCTTGCATTGGTCAAAATTATCATTTTTTCAATTTTTGATGTCAATTGATGACTTAATTGAAGGTTTCCATTAGATTGAATGCGAATTTTTGAAAGCTCTGATATCATAGTTAACATAAATAAAAAAATTGGATCAAGTCTAAGATAAAATAAAAAATTTGGTACCTTGATTGTAATTCTCCTTTAGCCCTTGTTTGAACCTCATTATTTTCAAAATATATTTTTTCTTTCTCTCTTCTTTTTAATCACATATTTTTCAATAAAAATAATATTATACATAAATTCAAAATTTTTCCTTATTTTTTAAACATAGCTCAAATAAGCTTTTAATAAAAGTATTTTAATGTGGAAATTACAGTTATCCCTAGTTTTCAAATCCCTAATTCAAAGTTAAGATTTCAAGTTTTATAATTCAAAAATTAGATAGTAATACATTTTTTAAATATTAAAAATAAAGTTATAAAAAAAATAAAATCCACAACCCACCTCACTAGCCCTAAAACTCTCTCTCTCTCTCTCTCTCTCTCTCTCTCTCTCTCTCTCACCCCTATATTCCCTCTCATCCCCTTCTCCATCTTTTCTTCGACGACAGGACCAACATGTGACGACACTAATTCATCATCACAGGGTGCTTCTGTTGCTCGTTCCTCTACTTCTTCTTGTTGGAGTCATCTTTACAAAGGGCATAGTTTGTTTTTAGGGATTTTTTTTTTGGTGTTTGCAACATCGCTGCACCACCCTATGCTGTGGTGTGATGAACTTGTGGTGGTATGGCGGCATGGTGAATTTTTGGTTGCGGTGTGGTGGATTTTGTGGATTTGTGAAGGTTTAGAGGTTGGTCTGCTATGGATGCAGCATCGTCGCACTACTATAGCGGTTGAGGTGTGGTGGACTTGTGAAGGTCGTGAGCGACATCGTTAATTTGTGGTTGTGGTGTGGTGGATTTGCAAAAGTTTGGTGGCTGGTCTGATGGATTTGTGGAGTCACGTTGTCGAGAGGTGGTGGATGCAGCATCGTCGCACTACTATAGCGGTTGAGGTGTGGTGGACTTGTGAAGGTCGTGAGCGACATCGTTAATTTGTGGTTGTGGTGTGGTGGATTTGCAAAAGTTTGGTGGCTGGTCTGATGTGGATTTGTGGAGTCACGTTGTCGAGAGGTGGTGGTGACAATAGTTATGGCGGCAACGATGACGATGGTGGTGGGCTACTGCAAAGAAGTGGCTAGGTGGTGGTCACAAGTGTTGTGGGGTGTTTGTGACCAACTAATGGGTTGAATGTGACCAATAATTGGTTAATTTGTGATAAATAAATAATTAGTAGTGGGCAAAAACTGATCGAAACCGCTCAAACCGACCGAACCAACCTAAACCGCTCGGTTTGGGTCGGTTTTTGCAATGAAATGGGTTGGGTTCGGTTATTATTTGGCATTTTCTATCGAGTTAGGTCAGGTTATGGGTTATGGTATAAACCCAACCCATCAGTATTCTCCTTTTCTTTTCTTGATTCTTACTGTACGTATTCATTATATTTTTGATGTTTTCATATTTGATTTTTTGGGGGAAAAATGATGAAAATCTCAGCTTTGTACAAACGCAGCATCAACAATTGAAATCTGGTGATGCAATGAGCGGCACTTTCCACACGAGATTTTCTATTCTAAAGAAGAAGGAAAAAAAATCCATCACAACACCCAAAGACGGCATTTTTCTTTCGCCTCTCTCTCCGCCAGTATCCGTCATCAATTACTAAGGTGATTTTTTTTTTTTTTTTACCCGTTAGTCTCCTATGCTTTCTGGACTTTTTCATGTAGTTTTTTTTTTTTTTTTTTACCCGTTAGTCTCCTATGCTTTCTGGACTTTTTCATGTAGTTTTTTTTTTTTTTTTCAATGATTGATTATGCTTTATTACTTTAGTAAGTTTGGGCATTTATTAGTAATCATAGTTCCATTTCAATTTTATGGTTTTTGGAGGATCTTGAAGTTTATGCTTGATTTTGCTTACTTTTCCCGTCGAAAATGAAGAAACATACATTTATCGTTGACGTTTATGCTTGATTTTGTGTTTGAGTTGTTAGTTGTCTGATTTTCTTGTTTGTAGTACATGATATTTTGAATATTAAAGTAGTCAGTTCTTGTTTAGTAAAGTAACACTTGAAAAAAAGACATTAGTTCTTGTTTGATAAAGTAAAATTTGACCAACATAGTTAAATAGATCTTGTTTGATAATAAAAATCGACCAACCTAACCCAAATTGATCGAAAATTGGTGAGTTGGGTTGGGTTAAAAAACATAATTGGACTGGGTTGGGTTGGGTTAATTTTTAATCAAACCGATCATGTTGGATTGGGCAAAAAATCGACCCAGCCCAATCCACACCCACCCCTATAAATAATACGTGATCTAAAAATTGTGTGGTGACCAATAAAAATTTTTATTCGTGTTCGAAAAATAATATGTGACCAATAAAATTTTTAATTTGTAATCAAAAAATAAGTTGTGATTAAAAATTAATTTGTGACTAATTATTTTTTTGATTTGTGACCGATGAACAAATTGTGACCTACAAAATTTTTGAATTGTGATCATAAAAAAATTTAATTGGTAATTTGTAATCAAAATGTATAGATCTCTGATCTAAATATATTTAATTAATAAAATAATTAATTAACTAGTTAAATCATAAATAGATTTTAATAAAAATATGACTTTTGAAGTTTAAAACTTATTTTTCTTAATTTTGAAATGTGTGATACTTAAGTCCCGTTTGTTTCTTATTTTTTGTCAAAAAAATGAAAAAAAGACGTTATTCATCACATCAAATTAACACATTTGACTTTATCTTTCTTGAATGAGTTTCATAATGATTATATTTTTTATTCTCCCTTTTATAATAAGAATGTCAGCTTAAATCCTTACTTATCAAATTTTCCGTATTTTAATTCGGAAGGGCTGAGATCCGAAGATCTCCCCGGTCCTCAGCCCCTACAAAAGTGGGAAAAAAATCAAAATAACAGGATTTTTGTGTGCGTCTCTCTCTCTCTCTCAATTTTGAGGTGTAATGGGTACCTTCAAACTTGAGCCTTCTCATATGGGTATTCGCCAAAACCTCCAAATTTCCGCAACCAATTTCACTCCACGAACACTAAGAATCAGCTGCGGCCTAAGAAGTGGGCCCAGGAAACCGATGTGGAGAACAAGAGTGCTTTCCACAGAGGCAATTCAAGCTGTACAGTCACTAAAATTGGCACAAAAATCCCCATCCAGATTAGAGCAAGTTTTCAGCAATAAACTCAGTAGGCTTTTGAAAGCTGATTTATTAGATGTGTTGGCTGAGTTACAAAGGCAGAATGAATCGGATTTAGCCCTCAAGGTATTGTTTAAAATTTAAAGATTGCTTCGTTACAGTTTTCTTTTTCTTTTTCATTTTTTTATTTTGGGTTATTTTATTCCGCATAATAAAGTGATTTTTTAAGTTTTATGGTGCTGTATCTGGTTTATAAGTAATTTATTTTCATTAACAAAAGTTGTACGATTTCATCAAGTCGTCAATATTGTGATAGAAAAGGTATATAACATGCCAAGTATGTGTTTATGTTTACTAGTTTTTCTTTCTTGATTCATGATTTTTTTTAGTTGGGGCTGTTTCTTTTCTGTAAATTACTGCCAAGTTTTGGGAATCCATATGTTTTAGAGAGATTTAATTAAAATAGCCTATGCTGAGTGGGAAAATTGGCTTCCAATACACGTGGAAGATAGATAGATGGGGAGAGGGGTGGGGAGAATGCCAGAGACTTGTAAAAGAAAAAGAAGGGATACAAAGAATAGCCGAAAGACAGAAAAGGGGGGAGGGAGATGTTCGTGGCAACAATTTTGTTTGGTCTGATGGTAGTCGGCTCAAATGATCATATTGGGTCAAGGGTTTGAACGCCTCCTTTTACATGCAATACATTTTGCTTGGACATTATTTGCATGGAAGTGTATAATGCGTATAATTTTAGCCCTATATGGAAGGCTTGCAAGTCAGTTCTGATCCCATACGACCTCTCATTAATGCTCAATCAACTCTATTTAAAATTTTTGCCTGTTGGACTTGGTATCAACCACGTGTGTTAATAAATTTGGTTTTTTGAATCTATTTAGTCACAAGTGTCGCATTTTTGTAGTATCATCCTTAGAAATTGATTAAGGTGTAATAATGAAGTTCAAAAATTAGCTCACACGACTTAGAAACTCTTCTGGTTTGTATAATTTGGAGTTGGGAGTGATGTCTCTTGAGATTATCCATTTGTATCAAGTTGCTCTGGGGCTTGGTCATTCTTCAGATTCGTAAGTGATGGTTTTTGGGTCTTGGGGAAACCTAAAACACAGTGAATGTACTGAATAAATAGCTTGACCACAATCTAATTCTACCACTTGTTTTTAAGTGGTTTGATAATCAGAAACTTGTTATGAGCGGAATGATGCAGCTTCATTTTTTCTTTACATATTTAAATATAATATACCCAGTCTGCTAACTTTTTTTTTGCTGATCTTCGCATTCAAGCAGTTTTTTTGGGTCTATAGTATTGAAGGTGCAATTTATAATTATGAAATCTTGGTCGTATACTGATTTTTAATGTATTTGTTCTTTTGGTTTTTTTGTATCATTTACATTATTCTATTGTAATATTTTTATTATTTAATCTAGAAGTTCAATTTATCTGATATGCGTCAGGATTCAGGTGTTTAACTTTGTGAGGAAGGAACTATGGTACGAACCGGATCTGACTTTATTCAACGACATGTTAATGATGGTGGGGAGGAATAAAATGATTGAGATTGCTGAACAACTTCTTCTAGAATTAAGAAATGAAAGCTTAGAACCAGACGCTAGGTCCTATACTGAGATGATTGGAGCCTATTTTAAAGTTGAAATGGTAAAGAAGGCAATGGATACATACGAGCTGATGAAGGCTTCAGGTTGTGCCCCAGATAAGTTAACCTTGACGATTTTGATAAGGAATCTTGAAAAGGCTGGTGAGGGGGCACTTGCAGCGGTATTGAAGAAGGAATGTACTGAATATGTTGAATATCCCGAGAAATTCCTTGAAGAAGTTGAAAGGACGCACGTAAGTTGCCTGACCCTTGATGCACAATTCCTTTGTCAGGCGTCTTTTATTCTCTTGGTCGTAACTTAACTAACAAACAGAAATGACATAATCCTTCTAACTCGTAAGCATGGACTGATGTTAAAATTTACTGATCCTGCATCAGGATTTTGAATATGCTTGTTCATGATACTGAATAGCCATAGATTTCACAGTTTTGACATACTTAAATTCTTGTTTTTGGTTTCAGATTCGAAGCAATGTATAACTGAATCTTCTTTTGTTTGACAAAAAAATAATCATCAATCTAGTCGAATGCAACTTTGTCCTTGGTTTTGTTTGGCTTAAAAATTCTGAGATGCTTTTATTTCCTGAAGCGTTGTAGGGAGCTGTGGCACTTGCACATGAGCACAGATGGAAGTTTGAACTTTTAAATGATTCCTTGTTAGGCCTGGCCTTAGTGTAAGAAGAGACGTTCTAGCATTTCCTGGTTTGGAGTCACTACAGAAGCCTGTTTTAATTAGAGACAGCCTTCTCACAATTACAAGTTAATAATCTCTGATATTTAATAGAACTTCTGGGGACCATCTCCATGCTATCAAATGAAATGTTTTCGATACCCAATAATTGATACTTAAAATATTCCTTGATAGTATTCATTGTGAGAGGAAATGAAGACATAAATGAACATAAATATAACAATTTCTTCCATGAAACATTAGGTTCTAAACATATTTGGACTATAGTTACTTCTCACTCCAGGAGTCAAGTTAAATTCATGAAAGTCATGCTTTTCTATCTCAATGAGGCACAACATTCTCTCGATAACACTTAAAAAGGCCACCAAAAGCTTCTTAAGTATTTATTTGAAATTTAATTATATGTTTTAGAGCTAAATGGTACAAGTCAAACTTCACGTGCATTGTTTTGGTTGCTGGATCATGGAACTGGAACGGTGAAAAAGGATTTATGTAGTTGACCCCAAGTTTATTGAGAAGAATGCTTAGTTTAATGTCAGAGAAGCAAAAACATTTGTCAATTTATTGTACATGTAAATAATTAAAAAGCTTTCATAGTAAATAATTTTTGATCTGCCAAGATTATCAATTAAGATGGTTGATTATAAATAGTTGCTCATTAGACTTGATATAAAGTTGAATAATATTAGGACACATATAAATTCATTGACAGGTTTCTGATTCCTTCTGTGTAGTTCTTTACTACCTCTTTAATGTTGCAAATTTACTGCATGTTCACCAAAGAATTTGCCTATGTCATTTAATTACATAGAAGTATGTTTTTTCCATCAGACCATGCATAAAGCTTGTAAGATCTTTGTCAATTTGAACTTCATTGATAATCTTCTGCTTCATGTAAAAGTACATTTACTATTATACGAGTTTTTAGTTTTCCTTTTTTACAGCCGAAGAGAAGGTCACTTAGACTTGTTTGACGATATCTAGCACGTCTGCCATCGGATACAAGAGCTTTTCTTTGGAGCCGAACCAATTTGTCCCCGAAAGCAGGCATCTACAAGAAACTTGATGATTTACTTATATTGGTTCCCAAATATTGAGCTCCAAGCATCTCAAACTCGAGGTATCTTGTAGATCAGATCGTTAGTTGAATGAAACTATTTTCCTTTGTCAGTATATTTTAAAGGAATTTGTCATCTTGCAAGCTATTGGTATTGGTGTTTCGCTACAATTATAAGTTCCAAGGAATGCCTGAAATACCTTAGTACATTAAGAACCCAAGTGTCTGATGGGATATTCGGTTGGCCTCTTATAAAATTTTGTATATATTATCATACATTCGGTGAGATGCATGTTTTATTTGGATAACTCTGCTAACTTTGAGTGATGCTACCACGAGGAGTTTGACATATTTTTTTACGGGGTGGGACACTTGGCAATTTTTGATTGGTTGTTGACAAAAGAAAAAAATGGCAGCCATACAGGTGTTGCCCGTGAATATTTCCCTGTACGCAGGGAAAAATCCATACTTCTGTTAAGCTTGACGTACCATTAAATATTATTGCAATAAATGGCATGCTAATTTCACCAAAAAATGGAACTTTTGTAAGGTGTAAGGTAATAACCAAGAACACAGACATTGCAAATCATAATACAGAAAATTTCTTCACAGAAACTAAGCAAGAAAACAATTTTCTGTGAGAACTTCAAAGAGAGGTAGCACAAAAAAGACCCATGTTACAGAGTATTGTTACTTGCTCTTCAGCCAGCTAAGTGACTTGGAGACTTATTGAACATCGTGTACCACATGTATGCCCTGGACAGCACCATTTCAAGATCCATTTCATTCCAGTTCCGAGTTGGAAGGTGCTGAAGAAACATGACCATATCCTGGAATTCAAGCTTCTGGAGCTTATCTGACCACTGGAAAATATAGTTAACAAACTTCAGTTTTGACTATTGACATCAAATATTACCAAGTCATTATTCCACTGTTTCAAGTAACACTGTAAAGGGAAGAAAAATTTCACATGAAGTAGGTGTGATTTTAATCACTAATTATAGAATGACCTATTGGAGTTAATGAAGTTCCATCAAATATCATATTACTATTTAGCAAGGTGGAATATTCAATTTCATGTTATTTATCAGAATCGAATGAATATCAGATATTCATGTGAAATTTATATTACCGTTAAAAGAAAGCTGGCAAATACGTACACGAGGAAATCTCGCAATGCATCTCCTTCTGCAAGATATGTGTCCCACAAGCGGGCTACAAGATGAAAAGGAATCTACAGAGCATATAAATCCATTAGGTGTATCCTTTGTACTAGGAATATTATCAAGGTTGATGTCAGAACTCAAAATACAAAAATCCACAAAGAAGTAGTAAGCCCATCAAATCACAGGTTTTCTCGACTTTATAAATTGGATTAACCCATACATAGATGAGCACTTGAAAAAAATGAAGAAATGATGCATGTATGGATACATACCTCACGTATAAGAAGGCAATTGAACCAGCGGAAAGCAAATTGAAGAAATTCAAGCCCCTGTTCCTCCATGCGGGTTGAAACAGGTTCTGGTAAATTCAGAAAAATGAACTAGTAAATTAATCAATGATGATAAAAGTGAGAAAATTGACAAATAAATTATGTCAACCCAGTTATGTATTTTCCAGCTTTTCCTTCATTTTCTAACCACCGTTTTTTTCCTATGTCTGCGAGGTGACCTCCTAGCAACAGAGAACATGAGTTACTTGTTCCAATGGTCGTTAAACTTAGGTCCATGTCTTTGATTAGTCGCTGAAATTTAAACTGTCGAGTTTTGGTCACTGAACTTAGGTCCATGTTTTCAATTGCTCACTAAATTTAGGTACATGTCTTCGATTGCTCATTGAAATTTAAAATGTCGAATTTTGACCACTGAATTTTGGAATATGCAGTACATTACTCACTGGCATAACCGTTGAACTTTAAAAAATATCGAGTTTACAGTGAGTAATGTACAACAATTTTTAAAGTTTAATGAGTAATGTACAACAATTTTTTAAGTTCAGCGGCAAAAACTCGACATTTTAAACTTTAGTGACCAATCAAAGACATAAATCTAAGTTTAGTGACGATTGGAACAATTAACTCCAGAAAACATGTATACATGATAAAGGAGATATATAGGCAATTAGCGACACAAAAATGCTAGGAAGGAAACTAAAGAAACGAACTTAAGTGAGTGCTTAAATCAACTAATGATGAGCATTTGGCCAACCGCATAAAAGCACCAAGTAACAAAAATAAAGAGAATTATATCCTGCTTTACACAGAAACTGACTTATAATCCACTAAGTTATTTGTATATGTGATACCAACTAAAAAGTCAGTAGCATGTAATGTGGGATGTACGTGTAAAGGAAGAAAACTTTGCTATTTAGAGGGAGGCTAGTAGCGAATAAAGGTCATGAAGAGTAATACCATCAATCCTTCTAACCAACTCCTTTAGCTTAAACACAAGCCTCTGAATTCCTGGCTGAGCAAATGTGTAGTGGTCTTGCATACCATCAAGCAGCTTAGATAGACACCAATAGCAGTCAGCTTCTACGTTAGATATTTTCTCAGGAGAAAGGTCAGCCATAGACCAAGTATCAACACTACCACTTAAGTATTCTGATAAGAAAACAACTAAGAAGGGTGTAGCAAGATCATTTATTCCTTGGACATAACCACTAGCAGGATGCCGAATTGCCCTGGAAAGGGGGAATATATAAGATGCACCTTAGCCGAACAGACATGATAGTGTAGCCGTAAAGATTTCAGACATTGGGAAACTAAGGTATCATACAACATACATATTTGTAATTTATTATTATTATTATTATTTTATTATTATTATTTTTTTTAAATAACGTACATGGTAAGCTCAAATGAAGAGGTCAATCTAAACTAACACGAAATGAGCAGATTCAGAAGGATTTCAGCCGCTGGAATTTAAATTTGGAGAGAGAGAGAGATGTCTCAAATTTTGGAATCTACGCAGAAACAGATTTAGATTTTAAAGTTTAAAGTGGTCACATTTACAAGCAAAATCTCAGTAAAAAGATGACAGTAAATGCAAAACTCAATATCATAATCAATTCTTGAGTTGGTAAAAAGAAAAATAAGAGTAAACGTAAACTCAATATGGATAAGAGTTTGAATCTCTAACTATCCTATAAACATATCAAGATAAATAATGTCATCATCAGCGATGTTTGAGTTGGTCAGAAAGAGCCCAGTTAGATGGTCTTCAACAACTTCAAACCACAGATCAGAGCCATATCAATAAGCATGCTGTTATCTTGCTACAGAATCAACAATAGTTTAAATTTAAGAGAACCTCACATGACTCTCTTTTGATATACCACTAAATCATTACAAGAAATTGTCATCAATAATCTCCACTTTTTTATTCCCAGAAGGTTTCCAAGTATACAAATTGTAGGGGGAAGCCAAAAGAACATACTTGGAGGAAATGCTACAGAAAACACACACACACACACACTCACTCAGATAGAGAGATAGCGGTTTGTGGTTGAAATTTAAGGGTTATTAATCAAAGTGTCATAAAAATTGGACGACATGCTGCATTAGACATTAGTACAAAGTAGGCTTCCTTTAACTTAAATTTTGTTAAAATATACAGTGAACCTAGTTTATTATGTGATCTCAATTTCGGTGATTAAACTCACTTAATCTAAAAAGAGATGAGATTTAATAAACCCATTTCAAAGACCAGTATAGTTATACCATATATGACAATTATTGAAGCCTAAAGCTTCCCAGTATATCATCTTCCAATGTTTATTTACAGTTTTTGTTTTTATGGAGAGTTTACCCATTTTGACTCATTAGGTTGCAGCAATGAAGCTCTCCCTACGAGGAATTTCCTACGTCTCTTGTTATTTCTCGTTCTTCCTCTCCCTTGTTTCTGAATCTGCACTAACTTGTCAGAAGTCGATTTTTCTCTGGTCAACAAGTATTGGTACAAAAAAAATTCATTACAAAGCCATTATCACCAATGTCAGTTTCCGTTGAATTTCCAAAGCTTCTCTGACAGTCATTAAATCACATTTCCTTTAACCCCGATCTCCAATTGGACACCCACCTCTTTTCAGCTTGTTTCTGTATCTGAACTGATGCAGTTCCTCATCAAGGTCCAAAAGCTCTTTGATAATCAGAAATATTGATCAAATCACATTTGCTCTCATTCTAATCTCCACTGACCTCCAAGTGTTTTGGTCCCTCATGAAATTGTTTCTTCTTACTTTGATTTTCTTATTCTTTCTTTCGAAGCTAAGAATAATTTCTTTAGGAAGCCAATTTGTTCCCTTTAGCAAATTCAACCTTGACAAAAGTTGCATTCTCGAGTCTTTTATATCATCTCGAGAAGAACCCAACACGCAAAGATGTTTATCATTTCTCACAGTGAGAGGCTCATGAACCAATCTCTTTTTCCATCAAAAGGATCAACATAATTAAGGAAAAAGTAAGGTGTGGAAAAGTATCTAACCACGTGTAAAGTATTCGCTCCAACGACTTTAGAACTTCTGCTTGTTGAAAGAAAGAGACATCGGGAACAGTTCTGGGACAATCAACAGCAATCTAACCATCACAAGCGAAGCAATCATTCTGTGGCTGCATAATACTGTGAAGTAGACACATGGGAAAAACAAACAGCTGGTTGGGGCATATCATACCTGACGGAGCATGCTGATCTCTTCATCTGTCCGCTCTATGTCAGGAATATCATAATACTGTGCAACACAATCGAGATACTCCAGGCGCTTTCTTTTCAGAACTCCCTCCCTTCTATCTGAATTAGAGGGTGCATATCCCTGTTGTCAGTTCAGTTTAAAATTCAAAATGCCAAAAAGAAATTCTTGTTTAAAACAAATCTAAAACTCAGCCTGCTAAATATTGTAATCAAAATCTGAAACTTCAAGATAGAAAAATATCATGGAACCAATATTCCAAACAACAGCTACTCAAGACGAAAAAAAAATAAAAGAAGAGAAGAAACAAAAAGAGAAAAAAAGGATCAGATCTCCTGAATATATGAAGCTTCAGAATTCAAAAGTTTCTAAGGATGGTAACATTTACACTAAAACTGTTTTAGTAAAGCTCCAATAAAGAGTTGCCTAATCCTAACCAAAGCTGCAAGCAAAAAGCCAATAAATAAAGCCGCTGTGCCTCTACCTCGTATATTGCTATTCTTAAAGCAGAGAGTATTAAATGATATAATAAATCATGATAATCCCCTGATACATCGTCAATACTGCCTTCATGGATTAGAAGTTGAACACAGGATTTCCATTCATTATTTTAATGATGGAATTTTCTCTTAAGAGGTGTTGGGTCATTTAGGTTTTCACTCCCTTCATAAGCCATTTTGTGTTATAAATTTACTTGTCAAGCAGAATGAAAATGATATTGAACATGCACACCGCACTTTGAATATAATTCTTTTTGTACTATGTTCAAACTAGGGAAGCATTGCCCCTATCAGTTCCTTTGTGCGGGATACTCCAAATAGAAAGATGCAGTACAGGTTCAACAACAGATATTTGCATATAATGAATTCCATTACAAAAATCTTTCTAAAGTAAAAAACCCAAATTGGAAACCAGACGTACCAACAGAAGCCTCCATACAGTAGGACGCAAGTAAGGTGGGACACCACTCCAAGCTAATTCACGCAGCTTTTCTGCATGGCGAAAGAATGAAAAAGAACGAAGGAAGCAAAATTAAACATAAAAAGAAAAGATCTCTTTTCTCTTTCTTGAGAAGTTGAAGATAAGTGAAATAATCAGTCACATTACACACCATCACAACTTAAGACCAGCATCACTACAAGCAAATAGCTACAATTATCATCTAAAGACTATGGAACTTCCATAAACCTGAAAAGATACAAAAGGAAAAATCAATGTTCATAAATACATTTCAATACCTAAGACGACGGTAGTTCCAGATAATTCTTTTTGGAATTTCGTTAGCCTTGCAGAATCTGTAGATCTAGCTCCCATTACTGTTTTCTGAACCTCATTGGACGTATTTTCAGTACTTGCTGTCGATGCTTTTGTCTTGTTAGCAGATGAACTGGCATTTGCGTTGCTTCTGGTTTGGATTACGTCCTAATGTAAATAAATGTAAAATCCATCGTTAAGATTTAATTGTCATATCTATGTAACATATATGACTGTTATGAATAGATAACGATCGAAAATTATCACTAGTACTACCTCAGCAGATCTATCAAGCTGTTCCCCATGTTCAATATCATTGTTTGAGAACCTTATGTTGTTACTTGGAGATTGCAGAGCTGATTGATCCAGAGGATCCGACCTCTGAGTTATCAATACCTTACCAGGAAAACTTCGCCCTTTGAGCATCCTGTACAGTTTATATTTAACATATATTCAGAACATGGATGAAGAAAAAGAAAAAAAAAAAAAAAAAAACTCTATGCAACTGAATTAATTTATCATGGCATCAGGAATATTAATGCTCAAAAAAAAAAGACAAACACAAGCAGAATAATGGATTATATTTCTTTTAGAATCTAGGATATTGCTGAACCTTTGACGATGTTTATGTTGAACTATTGAAAATAAAACAATAAATCACTTATAACAAAGTTGTAATAAAAGCAGCAAAACCAATACAAAAGCCTGGTTACTGAAAGTTTAGGCATTTTCACCAACCAGAAGTTCAATAATATTGAACAGTATCAATCACAGTCAATATCTGATGAAAATGGGGGAGCCTGCAACTCGCAACATTTATCATAAGAGTCTTGCTACAGAGACAAGGCTCCATGGCCCTGTCCATTTAGAAAAATCCTTATTATAATTACCCATTAAATTATAATTCATTTTTCTCTTTCTACTTATCAACCAAACATTCTTTAATAAAATAATATTACACTTAACTCAAAAACTTTTCATTTTTTATGTTTTATTTTTAAAACCACATGTCCTTCAAAATAATACTATTGCTTCATTACAATGTGGAATAACGAGGGCCAAACGGGCGATTAAAAATTTTATTGAAATTTTGAAAGTAGGAGTAAGCTAAACAGAGTAAATAACTTATTTCAGTGAATCCCAGTTGAAAGAATAAAAATATCACAAGATATTAAAAAATAGATCACATAATTAACCGTTGAGAACCCAAAAAAAAAAATCATCGAATTAAGCAATGTACACAATTTTAGTTGCATCATTGGAACGCACAAATCATTGTTCCATGATCCTGTAATTCGCCAGAAAGAGGGGGAAAATAACTTTACATGCATATACAATTTAAACAACCAAATCTACTGAAAATAGAACTCTAGATATCGGCTAACAAACACCATAGCAGTTAAATTAATTCGCAGATCAAAATTCATAAGAATTCTTAAATTAAATTCCATTTGATTTTTCAGTATTAATTTGCAAATGGGTATCCAAATCTGAACCAAAATAGAAGAAACACTAGACCAACTGGGAAATGAGATTTCCCTCGATAACAAAATTCTGGGTTTTGCAAGAATTGATAGTCAATTATTGTCGGATCTATGGGTTAAAATTAAACACATACCCTTGAACATTTCTAAGGGTTTGATTGAATCTTGAATCCAGAGTAGAAGGTGAAGAAGTATCTTTGTTGCGATCGTCTTCTCTACTATAACTGCTGCTGTTGCTTCTCATGGACATGGTTTACGGCACCAACCGTGCCTTTTTCTCTTACACTAACGATTTGAAAGGATAAATTCACAGTCAATCATTAAATATTTAATTATTGAAGAACAACTCTATTATTAATTTAAATTATTATTTTGTTACATATATAAACTATTTGTCGAGAATTATATTTTAAGGTAATATTTAATTATTATTATTATTTTAAATAAAGATGGATGTTATATCCACTGTCCACAGATTATCTTTAAATAAATCTTTTTTTTTTTTTAAAATTATCACAGACTAACAACTCCGTTATTAATCTTAAATTCTTATTTTATTAATATATTTGTTGAGAATATTTTCTTTTATATATTTATTATTTCTATTATAAACTATTTGTCGAGAATTATATTTTAAGGTAATATTTAATTATTATTATTATTTTAAATAAAGATGGATGTTATATCCACTGTCCACAGATTATCTTTAAATAAATCTTTTTTTTTTTTTAAAATTATCACAGACTAACAACTCCGTTATTAATCTTAAATTCTTATTTTATTAATATATTTGTTGAGAATATTTTCTTTTATATATTTATTATTTCTATTATTGATAAAATTTATGTCGTTAAAGTAAATTCAAGAAAATTAGTTTGTTTAATTATTAAAAAAGGAAAATCTTACTCAAAAATTGTAATGGTAAATACTATTTGAGTTTTCCTTCTTTTTTTTTTTTTTTTTTTTGTA